CATGAATATCTATATTGCCCCCTTCAAAGTAATCCCCATGAAATACTATACACTTGTGCCAACGGTTTTTCCAATCTTCGAAGCACTTCAAAAAATCATTTTGTTTTTCATCTTGTTCAGCTCCTCCATCGATGCCGTCTTTATCTCGTCAATCGTAGCGTAACGTCGTCCTTTCATGGGCCTCTTCAGTTTAGGGAACAAGAAAAAGTCACTGGGGGTCAGATCTAGGGAATACGGTGGCTGCGGCATCATTAGTGTGTTGTTTTTGGCCAAAAAGTCGCGCACAAGCAATGATGTGTGAGCAAGGGCGGTATCGTGGTGCAAAAGCCAATTTTTGTTCTTCCATAAATCCGGGCGTTTCTGGCGGATTGCTTCGCGCATAACATGCAGGTAATATTCTTTATTGACCGTTCTACCCTGTGGCAAGAACTCATGATGCACCACGTCTCTGCAATCGAAGAAAACTGTCAGCCAAACTTTCATTTAAAACTAAAATCCGAAGACCATCCAAAACACCTGCAAGCAAAGCAGCCGTCAACAATTAAGTGAACATTCAAAATGGCCGAGCTTGTCGGCATAAGGGACAGACATGAGTACCAACATAACGCCACAAAAAAATCGAAATTCGAATATACGTAGCCCGCGAAAATTCAAAATTCGCGATACTTTTTCAACACACCTCGTAGAATTGCAAATATTTTGATTTCCGCATTTAGAAAAGCTTAAAAATGAATGTTAATATAGGAACCAGCTGACAAAGAGAAAAAAGGAATTTTCAAATATACTATAAATGTTTAAATACACACATACATACTTTTATACTGCAAAAAATCTAATTTTCAAATCTCTCCTAAAGCGCTTTGCTGCGTGTCCTTTACACGCACTTTTCACCTAAAGCCTCATTGTGCTGTGTTGAAATGTGAATCACTTGACCATGACTCTTGACACTCGTGCAACAGCTAACAACAACAACAATACTAGAGTTTTTAAAAAGCATTTCCCAATGTTCACTGAATCACTTGCAACGTAGTCTTTTGTTTGCAAATTTTTGAGTAGAATTTAATATTTTAATATTTTTGCCATTTATTTTTCTTTGCCGCGAGGATTTATGACTTTGGAAAATTGCCAACAATTGACTATTACTTAACTGCAACATAGCATTTTAAGCGAAATTTCTCATATGCGTAAGGGTTTTTTTCCCCAGAAAAATTAGACTGAATAAATTCGTAAATAATGGTTCCGAGGAAATGAATTTGAATTTTTGTTTTTCCTTTTTTGTTTCTGTCTGTATCATGATCCTGCTTCGATAATCGTGAGCTCTTCTTATCAACAAATTATATCACACCGGCGGTTATTTCACTCACATACAAATACTCTCGCATCAATTGAACCAAATTGTAACCATTTTTTTTCTTCATCTTCATCGACTTTTTTTTGTCGCTATGCACTCGTACTCGTCCTTTGGTCATGTGCTTTTAAGTGCTGTTATCTAAGTAAGTACGTGCATTTGCGCTTATGCTAACATTATCGTATATACACGTATGTACATATGTCATGCGTTTCTACATGCTCTTGATCCGTTTCGGACAGGTTAATGGCACTCAAACTGTGTGCGCTGGCCTTGTGCAACTTAAGTGCTGTTTGACTTTAAGTTGCAATATTTTATGTTCATTTGAAATCATTTCCTTTTTTGAAATGGTGACTATAGACCGAAGTAGGCACAGAAGGGATAGAGAGAGACCCATCAAAATTTATACCGAACCATTCGAAATGGCGAGCTTAGTCGATTATGCTTTGTCTGCCTGAGCTTACGAGATATTTCAATCAAACTTGGAAAGCAAAGGTATTTTTATACTCTATTGATCATTTGTTGGAAACACTGGCATTCTTGCCAATTAAAGAATCGTAGAGAAATGGAGTTGACAGAACAAATAGACGATTCGACAAACAAAATGAACGGTGACGTCCTCACCAGAATTGTGGGTAATTACTATAGCTCGGTCGATATAACAATTGCGAGTAGAGGTCTGGTCAATAGCATAGCCTAGCATAGGACCACTTGCCAAAAATTGTCTCAATTGACAAACCTCCCGACTCCATTTCCATGGAACACGGGACGTTTGTTAACTTCAATAAAGTCAACTGGGCCGGCTTAACAGAATTTACCAAGAGCTTCTTCCGTGGTCTCCTCACTACAACCGACGTTACCGTAAGTGAACACACATTTCGGCAAGTCCTGGCAGGCCGAATCGCGGTAATCCCTCCTAGTCTACCACTGAAGCGGTTGTTTTAGCTTGCAGGTATGACTTATACATCATACCGTTCCCGGAAATCCCCTCATCAGGGATCTCAATGAAAAGGGTCGGAGTAAAGTTCAGCAATCAATACAAGCGGAGCAAGTGGAGGAGTACGTAAGGTACTGCAACCCGTACTCTGGGACAACCACGCTCTAACCGAGTGGAAATTTCACTCGGTGGCCGTGCCTTGACGGACACGAATAGCCACTTATCATACTTCACACTTCGGTTGACAAATTGAAGCGGCAAGCGACCCCGCGGCGAATTTCGCCCAACCGCACTTAACGCCATAAACACCCAGATAATCCATGGCCTTAACCAAAAACGCGTATGAGCTACAAAATATATATGTCCATGTCTAAACTCCCTGCACGACAACTACAGAAATACCCGGATGCCCTATTTCTAGCTTGAGGAACTCGGCTTGAACTCTTACAGAGCCGCAACGAAGTCCTCATGTCGTTAGTCGGCAGCACCTGGGGGGAAAGACAAAGGGACGTAGGGGCTCCGGCGGTAAGGCGTGCCTCTCGTGAGAGGCGACTAAAATCCAAAACTTTTCGCGACTTTCTTCGGGTCTTTATACAGTAACGACCTGAATTTTTATGTGGCCAAGGACTGTCACTCCGGCAACATTCCCAAAAACAACTGGGGGAAAATTTTTGCGACTTCAACAACAACAATAATAATGACAACTTCAGCAACAAAAGCAAAGAAACATACGACCGTAGCAACCCAAACCACCACCAAGGCGCATCAGAAAGAGAGTACTAGATTCCACACACTCCATTCAGTACCATATGCAAGAAACGATGGACAGTGCGCCGCACCAACAGGACTTAAACACCATTCACCTGAACTCTCTTCCAAGCAGCTACTATTGAACATGAAGAGCTCCAGCTGCCTCGAGTCATCCAAGTAGGCACAATTAAGATCTTGATATTGTAGTCGACTTAACTCCTGCCTATCCAGACTTGACTTCGATATAACCAACGTATGTTCTGCATGCAAAAGGACCTCGCACGGAATTAACCACCTTTTTGCATGCCTCCTAAAACCTACTCATTTAATCCTCCTTTCGCTCGGGTGCGATGAAGTAGAAATTGTTCGCTGCTTGGACCTCCTGTTAAATCACATCGAAGACTAAGCGTGGACGCTAGGATAGGTGATCTTGGATCATTAATACTTCAATGAAGTATCTAAACGAGGGAAATTTGGTATTCTACACATATATAATGAAATCTACATTGGTACTGCAAATCATTCAAATCGGACGACTATATCATATAAATAGCTCCCATACAACCGATTTGTTCAAATATGAAGTTTTCGGTAAACAATCTTTCGAAGTAATATAGACACGTGAATCGGAATAAAATAAATTTGATACGTTCATGAAAGGTATAGAGGTTTCTTCGGCATAACCGCGTTTTTTCATTAACTTTTTATCAATTACAATTAACATCTGTTTGTGTAAGCCCAAGTAAATCTACAATAATGTATGTTTTATCAATAATTGCCGGCAAATATCAAAAGCAGATCAACGTAATTAAAAATAAATGGGTGTTCAGGCTTTCAAAAGCAGATAACTACGCCTCTTTGTTTGTTGTTTATTGGGTTGAACCAAAAGAAACAGACGGTTTTTAAAAGAAAGTAAATACCCCCTGCGGGTTAGGGGCTCAAGAATTTACCCGCGGTAAGGCATGCCTGTCGTAAGAGGCGACTAAAATCCAATAGATCTCGCGACAGTCGGGTCTTTAATCAATTATTTAATTACCATTTTGTTGGATGACCTTTCTCCATCTTTCCGGCAACATCATTATTCCACGCTCATATAACTTCTGGGCTTTATCTGCAAAAAACTGCACCAAGTGCGATTTTATAGACTCTTCATTTTCGAATGTTTAACGATTTAATGAGTTCTGCAAAGATCGAAAATCAACAGAGTCCAGCCAAGCTCTCTTAGTTTTTGGCAAGTGCCCAAAGTTGGGGGCGTTCTAGCATATGGAATATGTCACCTCTACGATTGACCAATTCTGGCCGCTTCTCGTTGATGGATGTAATCAATTTGTTCAGTTGTTCACAGTAGCCATTCGAATAAATCGTTTGGTTCCTTAGAAGCAGCTCAAAATATACTACAAACTGACAGCATAATCTGCTTTTGGTGAATATCAGCCTTTGAAGTGGTTTGGGGCGCTCCATCAAGCTTGGCTCATGATCGTTTTCGATTGACGTTATTGTAAACAATCCATTTTTCATCTCCAGTTAGGATTTGATTCAAAAGAATATCATATTCATAGCGTTTAAGATGCATATATCAAGCGTTGAAGCGGCGAATGAATTTCTTTCTATTCATGTGGTACCGAAGTATCAATGTTTTTACCAGTCCATGACGTCGTATATGATTATGAACGGTTGATTTTGGCATACTTAACTGCTCTCCAATCTCATGCTCAGTTACATGACGATACGATTCGATGAGAGCTTTTTTTTCTAAAGCGAGCTTAAAGTTACAGCTTATAACTGTCAAAGGAAAAAAGCCGTTCGAAAAAATTGTCAACGCCGTCTGCATGAAAACTCAGCCGGCTTCTTTTGGGGCAATCCATTTTTATAATTTATTTAAATTAATTTTTCCAATTTTTTTTAGTCTTTTAAATTATTTGTTATTTAAATTATTATCTCTCTTTTCTTCATTTTTTTCTCCAGGCTGGGATCTCTCCTCTGTGGACGACATCGAGTGCATTGGCATTACACATGGCATTGTGGGCGTCATCAGTTTGCCAAATGTCTATGACCCTCATTTGGTGATTATAAAAGAGGCTACGCCGGTCGGAGTACTCTATGCACCGAATTTAGTATATAAAATCAAGTCAATCTGTATTTTAAGCGCCGATGAACCGGATACGGTATTGACCTCCTGCACAAGGCACTCGAGGTAAGCGAAAGAATGCTTCTTATTTTGCAATCATGTTTAATTTACCTACCCTCTCTGATGGTTTCAATGCAGAAGCGCCAATAGCACACCTACACATTCGCCAGCAACGGACGCTTCCGCCACAGGCAACACCAGCAACACTGCTACAACGAAAACCAAACTTTTCGAGGGTGCACAATTGATGAACAAGACATGGGGTGCCGTAAAAATAGCTGGTAATACTATAAAGAATACCACGCAGCAAGCTGCTGCTTTAGCTTCCAATCAGATGAAGTCCTCTGTCGGTATAAGAGATCCATCACGCATTGAGAAACGCATCACGGATGAGCTGCATAAGATATTCGATGATACGGATAGTTTTTATTTTAGTTTCGACAGCGATATCACCAATAATTTGCAACGTCAAAGTGCGGCAGGGGAACAGAGACAGCAATATGATGACCGTTTCTTTTGGAATATGCATATGATTGCTGATATTTTGAAGTTTAAAGTGAGTTGTTAACTAGCGTGCGATAATTACTTGTAGCATTGCATTTATTTGTTTATGTTTACATACTTATTTTTTAGGATAATACATGGGTATTGCCCATAATACAAGGATTCGTGCAAATTGAGCCTTGCGTGATAGGCAATGAATGCTTTACGCTGGCGTTGGTATCGCGCAGGTCACGATATCGTGCTGGCACAAGGTAAGTGTTGAATTGTTTGCGTATTTTATTGCTCACCATAAGCGTGCATAATAATTATTATTATATTTATTTATATATTTTTTTTCATTTTTATATTTGTAGATATAAACGTCGGGGCGTAGATGAGCAAGGCAATTGCGCCAATTACGTTGAGACCGAGCAAATATTGTCTTTTCGTCACCATCATTTATCATTCGTACAGGTGCGTGGCTCAGTGCCCATTTTTTGGAGTCAGCCAGGCTATAAGTATCGGCCACCACCGCGATTGGATAGAGGTGTGTAGCTTATAACGAGTTTTTCAAAAAAAAAAAGTATTAATAAATAAATCACTTTCACGGCACTTTGTAGGCGAACAAGAGACGTACGAGGCATTCGAGTTGCATTTCACCAAAGAAATATCGATTTATGATGGCGTTTGCATTGTCAATTTGGTTGAGCAAAGTGGCAAGGAGAAATTGATTGGTGATACTTATGCAAAGCATGTGATAAAGTACAATAATGATCGTTTAACTTATGTTACTTTTGACTTCCACGACTATTGGTATGCAACAACAACAACCAAGAAAAATCATAATTTTTGTGCTTAATTTCGCTTTAATCTTTTTACAGTCGCGGCATGCGTTTCGAAAATGTTTCGGCGCTCGTTGAAGCTCTGGCGCCGGAAGCAGGCGCCATGGGCTTTCATTGGCGTGATCAACGTGGCGTTATTTGTAACCAAAAATCAGTATTTCGCGTTAATTGTATGGATTGTTTAGATCGCACAAATGTTGTTGAGACGGCAATAGGTAAAGCTGTGCTGGAATCACAGTTAGTAAAATTAGGCCTATCGCCACCGTACACCCCTATACCGGAGCAATTAAAGTCGCCATTTATGATAGTATGGGCGAATAATGGAGACATCATAAGTCGTCAGTATGCCGGCACCAACGCTTTGAAGGTTTTAAATTGCTTTCTTTTCATCTATAGAATCCAGCTATTTATTGGAACAAATTTTTTTTTAGGGTGATTATACGCGCACTGGCGAGCGGAAGATAAGTGGCATGATGAAGGACGGCATGAACTCGGCGAATCGGTTAGTAGAGGATAGTTGTGTTTGAAATGTGTTTGGTATTAACAGCAGGTTGTTGGTAGTAATTAGTAGTCAAAATTAATTTTTTTTCATTTGTAAAATTTAAATTAATTTTGTATGTCTTTAATAATCGTGACAACCCGATGCATGTTTTTATTTGCCTTCATCTTTTTATTTCCCATAACAATTAACCTTTTTGTGCATTTTATTCTTCTTCAACTAAAAACAAACCTCTACACTAAGCATTCAATACAATTCAAAGCAATATTTCTTAACAAATGCCTTTCAAAATTCGTTCTTCGTAGTTTCTTCATACAAAATTTCGCTGATTCCTTCCGGCAATGCATAATTGATTTAATGCAAGGCAAACTAGTTGATGCTAATGAATTGAAAGAGGATGAAGTTATGAAGACAATATTACACATTTTCTGCCCATCGACGCCGGCTCCAACGCGCGGTTACTATAATGCCGGTGTGCTCGGTCCGGAATTACATTTTCTGGAAAATATCGTTTATACAAGGTGCGCCGCGTACCCTAATCCACAAGCCAAGTCGAAGTCGCGTTATTTGGTTCACTTGGTTGCTCCTTTTGTTTCCGTTATTTTAGTACTATCATTCGAAAAGGTATTTTTGTTTTGAATTTTCTTTCGAGTTTTTTTTTTATAATTTTAATGCACAATCTCAACATTAATTGCATGCGTTATTTGTTTAATTATTCCATATTCCTTTGTTTCTAAGCAAACATTCATACGACTCTCACTTATTTGTGCGCTTCTTTATTTTCTGCTCATCTTTCAGTTATTATCTCGCGCGTTTTAAAGATTCCTATCGTCAAGCCACCATCGATCTCATGCTCGGCAATCAAGTGTCGGCCGAGTCGTTAAATGCGTTGGGCGGTCAAGCAGCACCCGATGAAACTGACGCATTAGAGGGTGCAGAGCAAGCTAAACTACTGGTAGAGGATTGTCGTCGTTTGCTACTCGGCTCTTCGCAGTATCCAGTGGGATCGTGGGGACTCATTGACGCTGATCCAACGTGAGTGCTGCTTGTTAAAAAAATTGCTAGCAAAATTGCTAAAAAAAAGTATTATTCCTTTTGTAGTACTGGTGATTTAAATGAAACCGACGTCGACACTGTACTTTTGCTCACTGATGATTGTTATATTGTTGCCGAATATGATTCACATTTAGATAAAATTGTACGCTTTGAAAAAGTACAACTACAAAATATAGTTCTAATTGAACTGGGCATGTACCAGCAAACCAAATTGTTCCAAGGCTCTGCGCCAGCTTTGCTTTGTTTGCGTCTCAATTACAAAGTCGACGGTGTAGACGGCTATTTTCATATGTTTCGTTCGGCAAATATACGATTCTTCAATAATATGGTATATGTGATCAAGACGCAAGAGGAAGTGATGGGTAAGTTTGCAAATTTATGGAGTTAAATTTGAGTTTTCTATTGTACAAGTAGTCGGTTGTAACACAAGTCAACATGAATAAAATGTGGTATTTCCAAGAACTTATTTGACAATCATCTAACCTTTATAGAATCCCTTATGTCCATTGTGGAGATGTTCCGCATTGCACTCGACAACATAGGCAAGTCCGACGTGCGTTTTATCACAGGTGGTGTCCTCCAACGGCGTAAAAGCAGAAATCCCACGCTAGAAGTACCAAAGGTAAATCTCTTTAAATTCTACCAAACAAAATAGTCAATTGTGAGTTCTTACTTTCAGGGCATGCCACGCAATCTCTCCGAATCTCAATTGGTACAAATCAGCTCAAAAGCAATTTCTAATGTTGCCGGTCAATTCTCCAAATTGGGGCAGTCACTCAATCCAAATAAAAATAAGAATTCCAACTCAAGTGCAAACGCACAAAAGCAGCAAACGAATGAAACAGCAAAAATCAATCCACAAGTTATGCGTCAATCCCAAACGTCCATTGAACAGGCTGAGGAGGCTGAGAAGGCAGTTTTTTCCGTTGGACGCGCTAAGCGTAATTCGCATAGCAGCACCGATACGGATGAGAATGATAGCAGTATTTATGAACCCGAACTGGGCTCGGATGTGGATTTGGCGATCGCTGCAAATAATCTTACAGCTGCTGACGCTACTGCGGCTGGCAAATCGGGTTTTAATGAAAATGATTTTTTACCCTCTGTTGGCATTGTGATGGGCAATACACAAGATGGCGTACAATCACCTGGTTCTGATGATAATATGGATCGCTTAGAGCAAAAGGATAGTATGGCAAAGAATAGCGAGGATGTTTACGCAATTTCAATATCATCCGTGACCGATCATGTGACAATGCCTACTGGGCTTTTGGAGAATGCACCACCCGTGCGACCAATAACGCCAAATCCACAAATTTGTGTGCAAGACGAAATGGATGCGGCGTCTGCTCAATGCACCAGGTCGGTATTTTATTGTTGATGAGCATGTGTATAGTGCTTAGTTGGTGGCTAGATGGAAGCTATTAGTACGCCTTAACTAAATACTTATTTATTTATACTCGTATATGTTTATGTATGTTCTTTTGTATATATGTTGTATTACCCTTTTATATAATATATATATTGCCATTAGCAATAAGACAACACTTTTAGTAGCTAAATTCTCTAGTTTAAATATACATACATATATGATAAAAAATTCAAATTATTCTGGATAATTATATTATTAAAAAAAAAAACATTATTTGCTCAAATTATATACGAACGGAATGAAATTGTTCATTTTTACTTACGTGTAATTCATCAAGTCAAGCAAAAATTTTATTCAATACAGTAAAATAAAAAAAATTACTTTTTGGCATGCATTGTTAATGAATTTTGTTAAACAGTTCATTTAGTGCCTTTCCCAACAGTTTAGAGTAATTATATAATTAAATATTTTGTAAACACATTTTACTCACTAATAAGTGTTAAACCTCAAAATACAAAAGCTAAAAAATGTATTGTGAAAGAAAAGCAATAAAGTTTACAATTTTTGCCATACTCATTTGATTTTATACAAAACAGTGAAGCAGCAGCTAAAGATCTCAACCTACCGCTTGGTGGTGTGCCAAGCGATACTAGTAAACTAAAACAATTGGCAAGTCCTTTGTCGCGTACCATGGTGGTGAGTCCTCTCTCTAAATTGGCCAAAGGCATGCAAAATATTGGCTTAAATTTGGATCCACGTAAGATAACAACAAAGGTTAGTAATAGAATAACTTTTCAATTATTAATAAGTGGTTTTCAATGAAATTTTTTCACAGACCAGCGTTCTGTCACCAACAAGCACTTCAACCGGCGGTACACCGCCATCGGAGCGACAGAGCAATCGTACGCAACTACAAGAGCTGTGGGCAGAGCATGAATGCAAGACTAAGCTGATCGCATTATAAAGGGGAAAATCGGCTGAGCAATAAAGGGAAGAACTTTATAGCTGTTTAGCAAAAAAAAAAAAACAAAAAAATAATAAGGATTGAAAAAAGCTAATTTGAAGTTTGGCCGAAACAGTATACTTTCTACACTAAACAAAAAAGAAAAATAATTAAAAAAAAAATCAAAACTCCCCACAAAAGTATCGCTTTCGAAGATATTGGCACGTGGCACGAGTTTGATTTTAGCTGACATCGCGTTTGTTAAATTTAATAATCGAGGAATTTTTAGTAGTCGGTTTTGCTAATTGTAATATTTATAAAGCATAATAACGTAAATGGTATTTTAATAGCATACTTATTGTGCGCAAGTGATTGCATACATATGTACGTATTGTAGTTTTGTGTGTGAAAACACACTCTCGTTTGTTGCGTAATTTACGTGTTAATCAATCGGAGTTTCGTAATTAAAATGCATATTTTTATTATATATATTAATTTTGTTATGATTTTTTGCGCATGAATATTTAATTAGGCTTAAGACTATTATGAAAACTGCTAGGCACTTCGTAAATGTTATGTTGTTGTTATAAAATTACGTAAAAAAAAATTATAAAAGATACAACATAAAACATAAATGTCAACTTATTTTCAAGTTTCATAAATTCTTCTATATACTCGTATGAACCACCAGTATTTCTTGAATACTTTGCGGTATTTTGATATACAGAAATTGTAAATTATTTATAATAAAAAGGTTTAAGACAGCGAACACATTTTTCTGCAAAATTTTCTTTATGCTGTTTCATGACATTTAATCCAATTCTTTCAATTCTATATTACGCTTTACACATTTTATTTAATATATATTTTAATATAATAATTTTTTTTGGATTTTTTATATTTATAATTAATTTTTTTAATTCTTATGAAACTTCATTTTATTTTATATTTTGAGTTATCTTTTGTATTTCTTATTTATCTTAATTTTTTTATTTATTTATTTTCATTTATTATTTTTTATTTATTTTTTTTTGTATTTTATAATTATTATTTATTAATTTTCTTTTGTCTTTTAAAATTTTATTTATTTTTATTCTAATTTGTTTTATTGTTTTTACTCTTTTATTATTTTTTCTTGTTTTATTTTTTTATTATTTTTATTTTTGTCAATCTTTTTTTTGTTATTATTTTTTATTTTAATTATTATTTTTTATTTTTGTTATAATTTTTTAATTTTGTTATTATTTTTTATTTTTGTTATTATATTTTATTTTTGTTATTATTTTTTTATATTTGTTATTTTTTATTTTTATTATTATTTTTTATTTTTTTATTATTTTTTATTTTTGTTAATCTTTTTTTTTGTTATTATTTTTTATTTTTATTATTATTTTATATTTCTATTTTATTTTTTTATTTTTGTTATCATTTTTTATTTTTGTTACTATTTGTTACTTTTGTTATTTTTTTTGTTATTATTTTTAATTTTTATTATAATTTTTTATTTTTGTTATTTTATTTTATTTTTTTATTATATATTATTTTTGTTACTATTTTTTATTTTTGCTATTATTTTTTTATATTTGTTATTTTTTATTTTTATTATTATTTTTTATTTTTGTTATTTTTTTTATTTTTGTTATTATTTTTTATTTTTGTCACTATGTTTTATTTTTGTTTTTATTTTTTATTTTTGTTATTATTTTTTATAATTTTTTTTTATTATTTTTTATTATAATTTTTTTTATTATAATTTTTTTTATTATTTTTTATTATAATTTTTTTTATTATTTTTTATTATAATTTTTTTTATTATTTTTTATTTTTATTATTATTTTTTTTTTTATTGTTATATGTAATTTTTGTTATTATGTTTTATTTTTTATTATATTTTATTTTTATTATTATTATTTTTTTATTTAAGTACTTACCTTATGCTTTACTTATTTTTTATTTTATGTTATAATTTATTTTTCATTTATTTTTATATATTATATTATAATTTGCTTCAAAAATTTTTTATATAATTTTATATGATCGTGTTATTTTATTTTGCTTTGTTTAACTTATTTTTATATTATATTTTACTTTATTCCTTTTTTATTGTTTGATATTGATTTAATTTAATTTTTTTGCTTTTTGATTTGATTTATTTCTTTTAGTTTAGTTTATTTTAATTTTATTTAATTTTTAGCTATATTTTTCTTAAAGAAAATCATAACTTACCCCTTTCTTCATTATATATTTCATTAAATATAAAGGAAAATTATTGAAAATCACAAACGAAGGTAAAATTGATAAAAAAGATAAGCAATTATTGCATGTACTCCACAATACGTAGTAAATAATAGATATTAGCTGCGTAGTTTGCATTTTTGAGCTGAGCAATTATGAAACAGACACACTGTGCTTATGATATTTATATTAAAATAAATAACAACACAAAAACGATTACAACAATACTCATTTTTTACACTATCGACTGTGTGGATTTGCACCAACATGCATCCACCCATACACTCATAAATGCAAAAAAAAAACATCTTAAACGACACAAATATATTTGCTGATATTTACACTAAAAAAAAAATAATAAAATAAAATGAAACAAAATTTGCTGACAATTTATTGCTATTATACATATACACGTATTAAGAGAACACACTCGCTCGTTTTATTGTAGTGGTGACATAAATACTTACATATATTTGCATATATAAGCAAAGTTAATCAACGAATATTATATAAAAAAAAACTTTTTAGCAAACAAAAGAGAAAAACATGCTTATTAGCGATCGATTTGTTAAATAAATGCCGAATAGTGAAAAAACTTCAGAAAAAAATGGTTATAGAAATACATCAACATAATCCACCGTTCAATATGAAATCATGTGAAATTATAGTAATAATAAAGTTAATCATTCAAGGTGTTTTTATTCGTAGCATGAAGAAGAATCCTATGATTTCGATTCGGTAATTTCTTTTTTTTTTTAATTTTTCCAGCATAGTATCAATGGCTTTGTAAGTATTGAATCGTTGCAGCACTGAACATACCCTCTGTGGGTAAATTTTTAAAATCACTCATGTCACCCTGTTTTAATAAGAATATAAATCACTCCTGTGTAGGCATTTTGAAGCATATATTGTGGCGCGTAATGTAGTTGTTGGATTTCTTCGTTACAGAGCGTTCCAAATGAGCTATCTAATCGATATTCTTTTATTCGAACCATACGGACTGCAGTGGATCAAGATGCCTGCGAGTTTCTAGAATAGTTTTCTGCTCAAATCGATACGGATTATAGTTGAGTTCCGTTACCCAAAGTCAAAACAACGTTAGACTAAAACTTTAAAGCGGACACTTTGCCTTCGTTTTCTTTAAACGTGCTACTGCTATTCTAATTTCGACATATTCCGGTGAAGAAATGTGCGTTGTATTCATCAATAATTTAGCTCGCCACTTGCGTAATTCCCTCACTTGATCTTTAGGATGTAGTGAAGGCCTTCCTCTTCCTCTGCTTCCACAGTCGGGCACTGCATCGAAAACTTTCAAAGCGGAAGTGTTCTCATTTGGTCGGGCCAAACGACCGAGCCAGCCTACCCGCTGTCTTTTGATTCACTGAACAATATTGAATCTCGTTTACCGTGGTGCCTCCGCACCTTATAGCAGTACGAAAGTGATAAGTTCCTTTTAGAGTTTGGTGTTTGTTCATCGAGAAAATTTTCATTTGTCTACTCAGTCCAAAGTAGCCCGGGATGAAAAAATACTTCTGCATTCAATTTCCAAGCTGGCATTGTTGTTGGTGTTAATACTGGTTCCAAGATGCAGCTTCAGACTTATGACTGACAACAATGGCCTTAGAGCTGTGTCGTGAATGCGATGACTGTTTGTTTGATGACAACAGATGTTACGTTTAGTCCTCGTTCCCCTTATGACTTTCTCCAGTAATAAATTAAAGAAGTTACACGATAAGGAATTACCCTACCTTAAGCCTCGTTTGGTATCGAACGGTATAAATTTTTGCGGGGAAACCAAATTTAGATATAACGGCGGCTCGAAGGCGGCTTTAAAATCGACGAAGAGCTGGTGGGTGTCGATCCTCTTTTCACTGGTCTTTTCCAAGATTTGTCGCATGGTGAATATCTAGTCAATGGTTGACTTACCAGGTCTGAAGCCACACTGACAAGGTCCAATCCGTTTTCTGTAGTCTTTATCACAATACGCTTGGATCATTGCCCTTGTCGGTCAGCTTCTGCAACTCTTCGTACTCGCGTGTCTCGGCTTATCTCTTCTTTGTTCCACTACCAAGCACGTGTAGGAGTCAATCACAATAGTAGAAATCTGTGCGGTTGTCTCCTATGATTGCAGCCTAGTCGATGTTGACACTCAGAGTGATCGCACTTCAAGAACATGGGAGACTTGTCTTCCGTCTATAACAAGATGATCGATTTAGTTTTGAGTCTTTCGATCGGGGAACAGGCAAGTTGCTTGACAAATTTTCTTGAGCTGGAATCTAGTACCACAGACAACCGTTTTTCGGGCCCGGCCCAGCATGATTTTCGCATCGTGCAGGGGCATCCTTGGTCAAACCTACTACCTTTCCGACCGGGAGTGGGAGCAAATAGTCGATGTGTTGAAAAACTTCGCTTTTGTGCATATTGTAGCGAGAGGTTCATCCACCGGGGTGAGTGCCAGTACTCAACGACGGAGTCTTTCTCCTTTATACGGGCGCTGTAGTAAATGTGATATGGTCCACCCTCTTCCGTCCTTGTCCCGTTCATTGCACTCCTGTGGCGGCGGTAATGCTAGCCTTTAGACATACGAGGACATCAACCAGCTGGGCAGAGTCACTTGCCCAATTAAAGTATCGGGCGTTACACGTGCAAGACATTAAATTATAGTTCTTAATACGTTTGCAGTGGTCGTTATCCGTGGCATTGTAAAGTTTTCATTGGAGCAGATTTTTACGTAGCAGGTCCCGAGCTCAGCGCACAGCCTGCTAGGGGAGTAAGTTTAAATACTGCACCTATACAGAGTACAGATGCTGCAATTGAATTCACCGGTTGGTTATTGCATCTTATACAAGGGTTGCCCACGTTTCCTGGGCGACGCAGCAGTAGCAAGTAGGAGTAGTCTCCTCTTCGTGTATTTGTTTCAAAACCTACGCCACCGCAGTATAACCACTGGCAAAGAGACATTAGCGAATTTCTATGGGAAAATCTCTCTGCACCGGAGAAGCTGCTTAAAGAACTGGGTATCGTTGGAATGCCCTGCAACCGTGGCGCATATTTTCAAATATAAAGTATGCGTATTACCTTGCATGTACAAATATTGGGTGATTATAGTTGCCGGAGAGTCCATCCCTGAAGTCCTTAGCATGGTGGCGCTTTATTTTCCGTGAGAATAGCACTCAAAAACTCATTTGTTTCACATCAATTACATACAACATATTTACATACTTGTACAAACATAAGTAGGTACATATATATTATCACATTTACATAAAACTAAAAAAAAAAATAAAGATTGTAAGCGACCAAATGTTGCAAGCTCATAAATCTATCATAAATGCAAATATTGACACCCAAGCAGCAGTCGCTACATTTTGACCGCAATGCTGTTGTCGCAACACTTTGGCAATAATTTGTTCACACACACACACGCACACAACATTTTCACCCATTGCCACACACCGATCAACCCAAACAATGGCAACAATGTCGGCAGCAAGCAATAAGTGTCAGTGTCAAATGTTGCGACTGTTGATTGCTTGTTTACATAAGTGATAAAAAATGCACAGCCAATCACATAAGCACA